CTCTGCCTCTCTCTCTCTCTCTCTCTCTGTGACTATCATAAATAAATAAATTAAAAAAAATTTTAAAAAAAATTAACAAAGGGGGGGAGTTATGATTTCAAATTTGCATTTTGGAAAAAATGTATTGGCAGATCAACTAGTAGGGAGACTCATTGCTGTAAAGCTTATTGAGAAATAATAGTGGCTTGGACTAAGGTGGTGGCAGTGGAGATTGAAAGAAGTGAATGGATTCTAGAGATAATTAGAATATAAATTTGACAATCCTTGCTGATGAGTTACATGTGGATGAGTAGAGAGAGCTATTTCAAACAACTCCAAAATTTCTGGCTCACATAACCAGATAGCCTGTGCCCCTTCATTGACAGAGAAAACAGTAGAAGACGACCCAAGTATGGGCAGGGACACCTCTTGAGTTCACATGTGGATATTTTGGGTTTGAAGTGCTTGTGAAATGTCTAAGAGGAGATGTCAAGTACGTGGTTGGGTGTGTGAGTATGCCATTTAGAGGAGGCGATTGCCTGGTTAAGATATCATGAGTCATTTGTGAATTGGTATTTGAAGCAATTGCCTGGAATGAGAGTATGAAGTGAGAAGAGAACACAGATACTGGGCCTTTAGGAACCTAATATACAGTGACTGTGTAGAAGAAGGACATATCTGGATGTATTACAGATGTGATCGCAGAGGTGGAGTATTGCAGAACTATTAGTGGTGGGGAGGCTAAAAAATCTTAGAGATTGTGGTACTAGTAATTATTAACACTGCAGTCACCTGGGGGTGGTGACAGGACTTGGCTACAATGGACACTGAATCAGATGCCAACTGTCCGATGAATGAGGAGAGAGACTAGGAACCTGATGTCTATGTGTCTGACTGCAAGCAGGAGCGGGAGAGGGTGATGACCAAATATTGTGGTTCTTATTAGCAGGACAAGGATTTTTAAAAAGTTAGAGAAAAAATGGCCTGGAAGAGGCTTTGAGGAGCAATAGGGATATAAACCCTAACTCCCAATTTTGAAAGAGGGAAGGTACACAGATGTGCACATCTCTTGCAGAGGGGGCTACTGGAGAAGTGATTTTCTCCAAGGAGAGCTGCTTCTTTTTTTTTTTTTTAATAAATTTATTTTTTATTGGTGTTCAATTTACCAACATACAGAATAACACCCAGTGCTCATCCCGTCAAGTGCCCCCCTCAGTGCCCGTCACCCATTCACCCCCACCCCCCGCCCTCCTCCCCTTCCACCACCCCTAGTTCGTTTCCCAGAGTTAGGAGTCTTTATGTTCTGTCTCCCTTTCTGATATTTCCCACACATTTCTTCTCCCTTCCCTTATATTCCCTTTCACTATTATTTATATTCCCCAAATGAATGAGAACATACACTATTTGTCCTTCTCCGATTGACTTACTTCACTCAGCATAATACCTTCCAGTTCCATCCACGTTGAAGCAAATGGTGGGTATTTGTCGATTCTAATGACTGAGTAATATTCCATTGTATACACACACCACATCTTCTTTATCCATTCATCTTTCGATGGACACCGAGGCTCCTTCCACAGTTTGGCTATTGTGGACATGGCTGCTAGAACCATCGGGGTGCAGGTGTTTCATTGCATCTGAATCTTTGGGGTAAATCCCCAACAGTGCAATTGCTGGGTCGTAGGGCAGGTCTATTTTTAACTCTTTGAGGAACCTCCACACAGTTTTCCAGAGTGGCTGCACCAGTTCACATTCCCACCAACAGTGTAAGAGGGTTCCCTTTTCTCCGCATCCTCTCCAACATTTGTGGTTTCCTGCCTTGTTAATTTTCCCCATTCTCACTGGTGTGAGGTGGTATCTCATTGTGGTTTTGATTTGTATTTCCCTGATGGCAAGTGATGCAGAGCATTTTCTCATGTGCGTGTTGGCCATGTCTATGTCTTCCTCTGTGAGATTTCTCTTCATGTCTTTTGCCCATTTCATGATTGGATTGTTTGTTTCTTTGGTGTTGAGTTTAAGAAGTTCTTTATAGATCTTGGAAACTAGCCCTTTATCTGATAGGTCATTTGCAAATATCTTCTCCCATTCTGTAGGTTGTCTTTTAGTTTTGTTGACTGTATCCTTTGCTGTGCAAAAGCTTCTTATCTTGAAGTCCCAATAGTTCATTTTTGCTTTTGTTTCTTTTGCCTTCGTGGATGTATCTTGCAAGAAGTTACTGTGGCCAAGTTCAAAAAGGGTGTTGCCTGAGTTCTCCTCTAGGATTTTGATGGAATCTTGTCTCACATTTAGATCTTTCATCCATTTTGAGTTTATCTTTGTGTATGGTGCAAGAAAGTGGTCTAGTTTCATTCTTCTGCATGTGGATGTCCAATTTTCCCAGCACCATTTATTGAAGAGACTGTCTTTCTTCCAGTGGATCGTCTTTCCTCCTTTATCGAATATAAGTTGACCATAAGGTTCAGGGTCCACTTCTGGGTTCTCTATTCTGTTCCATTGATCTATGTGTCTGTTTTTGTGCCAGTACCACACTGTCTTGATGACCACAGCTTTGTAGTACAACCTGAAATCTGGCATTGTGATGCCCCCAGATATGGTTTTCTTTTTTAAAATTCCCCTGGCTGTTCGGGGTCTTTTCTGATTCCACACAAATCTTAAAATCATTTGTTCTAACTCTCTGAAGAAAGTCCATGGTATTTTGATAGGGATTGCATTAAACGTGTACATTGCCCTGGGTAACATTGACATTTTCACAGTATTAATTCTGCCAGTCCATGAGCATGGAATATTTTTCCAACTCTTTATGTCTTCCTCAATTTCTTTCAGAAGTGTTCTATAGTTTTTAGCGTATAGATCCTTTACCTCTTTGGTTAGGTTTATTCCTAGGTATCTTATGCTTTTGGGTACAATTGTAAATGGGATTGACTCCTTAATTTCTCTTTTTTCAGTCTCATTGTTAGTGTATAGAAATGCCACTGATTTTTGGGCATTGATTTTGTATCCTGCCACGCTACCAAATTGCTGTATGAGTTCTAGCAATCTTGGGATGGAGGCTTTTGGGTTTTCTATGTAGAGTATCATGTCATCGGCGAAGAGGGAGAGTTTGACTTCTTCTTTGCCAATTTGAATGCCTTTAATGTCTTTTTGTTTTGTCATTGCTGAGGCTAGGACTTCCAGTGTTATGTTGAATAGCAGTGGTGAGAGTGGACCTCCCTGTCTTGTTCCTGATCTTAGGGGAAAGGCTCCCAGTGCTTCCCCATTGAGAATGATATTTGCTGTGGGCTTTTCGTAGATGGCTTTTAAGATGTCGAGGAAAGTTCCCTCTATCCCTACACTCTGAAGAATTTTGATCAGGAATGGATGCTGTATTTGGTCAAATGCTTTCTCTGCATCTATTGAGAGGATCATAGGGTTCTTGGTTTTTCTCTTGCTGATATGATGAATCACATTGATTGTTTTACGAGTGTTGAACCAGCCTTGTGTCCCGGGGATAAAGCCTACTTGGTCATGGTGAATAATTTTCTTAATGTACTATTGGATCCTATTGGCTAGTATCTTGTTGAGAATTTTTGCATCCATGTTCATCAGGGATATTGGTCTGTAATTCTCCTTTTTGGTGGAGTCTTTGTCTGGTTTTGGAATTAAGGTGATGCTGGCCTCATAGAACGAATTTGGAAGTACTCCATCTCTTTCTATCTTTCCAAACAGCTTTAGTAGAATAGGTATGGTTTCTTCTTTAAACGTTTGATAGAATTCCCCTGGGAAGACATCTGGCCCTGGACTTTTGTGTCTTGGGAGGTTTTGGTGACTGCTTCAATTTCCTCCCTGGTTATTGGCCTGTTCAGGTTTTCTATTTCTTCCTGTTCCAGTTTTGGTAGTTTGTGGCTTTCCAGAAATCTGTCCATTTCTTCTAGATTGCCTAATTTATTGGCGTAGAGCTGTTCATAATATGTTTTTAAAATCGTTTGTATTTCCTTGGTGTTAGTAGTGATCTCTCCTTTCTCATTCCTGATTTTATTAATTTGAGTCTTCTCTCTCTTCTTTTTAATAAGGCTGGCTAATGGTTTATCTATCTTATTAATTCTTTCAGAGAACCAACTCCTGGTTTTGTTGATCTTTTCCACAGTTCTTCTGGTCTCGATTTCGTTGAGTACTGCTCGAATCTTAATTAACTCTCTTTTTCTGCTGGGTGTAGGATCTATTTGCTGTTTTTTCTCTAGCTCCTT